CTACCTAGGCTCCAGCTGTCTTGTGCGAGGTAATCGAACTGTTGCTCAGCCTTCTTGACCAGAACTTTAAGTGTTCGTGTCGGAATGTCGTGGGTTCGAACTTCCAATGAGTTTCATGAGACGTGCACTCCTGGTGATTCCCGCCAAGGATCCCTCTTGAATACCTAAACCGCTAATTGACTCTTACGGTTAATCATGCCAAGTGGCGAAGTACATGTCACAACACTAGGTTCATTATTCTGACCATGTATCAAATGTGAATCTATGGTAAAAGCCTTGCGAAAGGTATGCTACATCCTATGGCAATAGGCTGTGTCCACTCGGTAATCCTAATTAAGTTGCCGCTGAGGGACCCCGTCAAGTCATAGTTGTGAGGAACCGCAAATCTTGATGGAACACTCCAAAAACTAACTAAAATTCCACCATTTAGCCAAACAAATCATGCCCTGAGCTCATTTCGAAATTTGAATAACCACATATTGCCGGCACTGAATGATTTTTTCAGGACCCCCCTAACTCCTCCGAACGCCAGTTTGAATTTCCTGTGTCTTACTACCTCGAAAGTTCCATGTGACTCCCATAGCTGTATGTCCAGAAAACCATATTTGCAGTTCCTAAATCAACCTGTTTGACACCAGTTAGTTGTGTAGTGTACCAGTTTGATATTGGTGACCCGGATCTGTAACGTATGCAAGGATTGATCACCAAAACTAAACTTGTGCACCTAAAATCCTACTCGATACCAGCTTTTGGTTGCAGCAGAAAAATACCGGTTTGTCCAAGCCACAGTCGTGCATCTGACGAAAGATTCGCAAGCCCACTAACTGAGAGTCACAGAACTTCGACCCACCAATCAACGCCCGTGTTTTGTTGGACTGCTCTAGATGATGCGTCGAAGAGGCCACATTGGTACCTTAAAGCAGTTCACATTCTTAACTACTTGACTATATTACCAGTAGCTGAATTCTTTGTAGAATTAAATTTAACCACGCCACCTCGAAGCAATGACGCCATCACAGTTGCTTATTCATATCGAATGGGAAGCACATGATTTAGATTCGACTCAACATTCGCCTTTCAGTATGAGTCATCATATCAGTGTATTCATGAGATGTTTTTAAAGTCAGGTAGCTTGCGACAAGTGTTAGCAGTTTTTTAGGTCGTCAACAGTCTTTCGAATACCCTCATGCTGAATGCATCATCTGCAACTTCTTATACGGATCCTTAGACAGTGCTTACAAAAGTCCACACTTTGGAGATGAACCATCCACCTAAGCGAACGGCTGGACGGTTCTATCGAAAAACCCACTATCTTACAAGAATCAAAGTGCTGCCGAACGATATCTGTCATGAATAACGATGTGGCTAAATAGGTTGGAAATCAATAGTATCCGCTTGAGTAAGTGTTATGGCGACCTTTTGAAGTGCGCCTAGATAAGCCGTTTTTGGCTGCAAGCCTTTTTGACGAAGGCCGCCGGTGACTTGTTCAAAAGCCACAATTTAGGCGTGTGATAATCTGATTGTATCCGTCAAAAGTTACTCAATGGGCACCGTAGATGAGGAGCTGCAAGGGTTCCGTCTACATATTTATCGGCGTTATGTAAGTTCACTTGGTCGATAGAGGCGATGCTTCTCCCGTATCTTAAAAGAGGAAGGCCAAATGAAGAACAATTAGGAAGAAACGGCGCACTCCGTTGTCGCTTAAGACCATGCCCACTCAATAATCCAACCGAATTTACAATCATGCATTTCAGCTCAACACGGTTATTAAAATTTTTGATCCCAGAAGTACGTGGCTTCATGGCGTTGCCTCCAAATTCAATGACTGCGATACAAGTATGTACTTCCTAATGGGCATTACGCCACCCCCTCCTGAGTAACGCTCAGTTTGTGCAACAGATGTGAAAAGTTTTTAGCCAGTAAAATCCGCTTTCAGTGGTAGCCACCGGAAGGAAGAAAGCCTTCGCTTCACAGTTATGCATTAGAAAATGCCAACCGAACAGTTACAGACTACTGTACAGGGGAGAAAAACTTTCATATCCATCTTGTTTGCAAAAATGTGTATGCATCTTCTCCTTGAACACGTCTTCCTGAACTTTCCCGGATATTCATTGACTGTTACTCGGCTGCAAGCAAATGCTACAGAGTGACTATATAAACTCGGTAAGAGACCTCACTTCTCAAAAGATGCAAAGCGGATTTACGAGAAAACCAACTACTCGCGTGCCCCCGATAAGTAGTATCACCGTTACACTCGGCTCCATGGTGTCGTCTTCAAATTCAAAGACTGCAACACAAGCATGTGTTTTCGAATGGACGCTACGCCACCTACTCCTGAGTAACACTCATTTTCTGCAACAGATGTGTGCAAAAAGTGGCAGCCAGTGTTTAGCATGTACTTATTTGAGCATAAAAACCCGCTTAAACTTGTGATGTATCGTTCTAACTCGGGACCTCCAAAATCTGCAGCATTATTGCCGTGTTGATGAAGTGAAAACCGGCTCCCCACTGATCAACTGTAAGCGTCAATGACCTTCTGATGGTTGGAATCACTACCTTACACGCGATCATTTTACTGCTCGACTTTTGTTCGCATGTTGAAGGCTAAAGCAAGGGAAGGCGTACAGATCGGAAAGTTTTGTAGCACATAGGGTGGCACCAACAGTCCCCTTCAAACTGCAAATTCCAACAGAATTTCTAAAGTTACTGTACTTCATGTTTTCTATGCAGATGATCGAATTCAAACTGTGTTCTGGATTCCATGAAGCAGGCAGTGGCCACTTTATTCTGAAACGCAAAAAACCATAGACAGCTAAGTACCCACTATTAGCCCAAGAACAAGCTAACAGATAACATGGTCCTCCAGTTGCCCACTTCTTATTATATGTAGGGAACCCTAGAGTACACGTGTTCTCCCAGAGTTCAAATGTTGCAAAGAAAACGCAAATAAGCGAGCAACTCACAAGGAAGACCAATGACGGATTGAAAAAAACTAGCCATATTTGATCAAAAGCCTCAAGCCAGAAAATTGTTCGAAATTTTGCAGCCCTCACCTGGTTTGTAGAGATATTTTGTGAAAAACTTGGAAAATATCTCAAGTCCAGCAAAAAGGTCTTTACACAAATTCACCAATAATGTTTTTGTACGGAAGCCAGCATCCCTAATAACCGAACACCACATCATTTGAACCGATGTCTCACGTGCAGGACACGGGCCAAGCGAAGGCATGCCCTGATTGGTCGGAATGCCAGCCAATCCGAGTCAAGCACCTTTGACTCGGTGCTTCTCGCCTCCTCAAGGCGATTCTGGCCACTATGGTTTACACCATTTGAGAATTAGTTCCTGTTTCAGTATACTGCTTGAGGTTAATTGGTGAACCAAAAAGGTGTCTGTTGAAAGACGATGGTTTGTTAGGGTGTGTGAAATTCTACCAAAATTCAAAAATTCTTCACAAAGCGTTTTATTGCTGACAATTTTGACGACGCGAACACCATGAAGCCGCGAGGTCTAAACTGGTTCGCTCACTTTGCGACCATAACGTCCGTTGGTCATGTCTTGCAACCACACAACTATACAATCCCTGTTGTAGCCTGATATACACACCTCCTGATACACTTTTTGGAGCCACAATTGATGCAAAGTAGCAAATGTAATTCGGATGCTTGAGATTCATGCATTAATTTCATCGGACACACTTCAGGCATAGCTAATACAAATATTGAGGTACTTAAGACGCTCCGTAGCCTTCACAATCTACCTGCTGGACATCGAATTGATACCCGTGAAAGGAAGGACACCTTCACTGTGGCGTCATTTACTGGAAAACACTGACTGGACAGTTACAGACTATTGGACAGGGAGTCAAAACTCTCGTATTCATCTTGTTTATAAAAACGGAGTGTCCACCTTCTTCTTGAAAGCGTATTCCTGAACTTTCCTGGATACTAATTGACTATCACTCAAATGTTAACGAATACTTCAAAGAAATTCCACAAATTCCGTAATAAATGTCACTTTTCAATAGCCGCGAAGCGGATTTACGAGAAAACCACGTGCTACTCGCAGGCTTTCCAGTAGTATCCATCGATACACGGGTGCGGCGTTCAGAATGTTACTCTGGAATATCAGATCGAAACTGTTAGCTCAGTAGAGTCATGTCGATCAATTTATGGCTACCTGGTTTGTGCTGTCAAAAGACGTTACCACAAGCCTTCATCTTGATTTTGTCTTAAGAACTGATTGGGCTAACGGATGATTGTTTCGGTTCCATGGTTTTATTGCTAACTATACCTGTATATGGACCCTGGTATTTCAACTGGAAAGGTAAGGGCTAAGTGTCGACGTCCTGCGGCGGTGGTCTTCTTACTCCATTGTTCAGATGGGTAAGGGAGATCGCTTAGATAGTCTTTAGTAGTTGCACTGTTACAGAATTCGCGTGCGTGCGAAAAGTCTTTGGGATGAATTTAAATTATGTAGATTAAAATAGGATTACTACGGGATACGACTCTACACGTGAACCGGTTCCTCGTTGTCTAGGTTTAACATCTGGTGACGGGCTCCGCACTTACCATCGGATAGAGTTTGCTCGGCTTCGGTAGTTACCTTGGATAAAGCCTTGCAGATCCGCCGCACACCAAACGTCATGTACCAGTCAGATGTTGCAGACATATCACCTGTAAGACGCTCCTCTTAACGGGAACAACCATTCTAAGGCTTTTCGCCGTCTCATTTCACTCGGTGCCTACTACATCACCTGCGCTTCCTCGAAAGTACATGTACGTTTGGAAGGCTCAACATTTAAACTCTTTAGTCATTCTCTTAGTTTCAACGTAAAACCGTTTTGCACCTCTGTCTTCATTATTCCTTTGTTTTACAAATAACCATGTCTTGGTTTTCACATTAACGTCCTGCAGTCACTCCAAAAAGGGCTCCAACCGACCTAATTCCTGGCGTTATCCAAGATTTTGTGGTTTCTCCAGTCCAGAAGACAGTTCTGGTCAGCTCAGTGTGAACCCTGACACGTTAGATTTTATTGCAAAAACAAGCTGGATATCGGGTGCGTTACATGAAGGATAACATGATAAACAAGTAAAAAATTTAAGTCATGTGTTCAGATATGATGGAGTATTAGCTACGTGTGCTGGGTTGTGTTGATCATAACCACCTGGAGTGTATCGGGACCACCTTGTATGCTCTGATGCCGGTCTTCCACTAGCATCCTCGTCCAGTTGCTCTTCCACATCATCTTGCTCCATCTCATCAGAATACAATTCATTGTCCAAGCGTTCACTTGGGTAGAATCCGGTCTTCACAGGCGGTGAACTGATACCCATCTCGTCCTGATTTTCCAGTAATGCTTGGTTCGCCTCAAACTGGGCCATAGCATCCAAGTACATATACCGCAGAAATCCGACTATAAAAGCGACCACAGTGAGCAGGAAACTGAGCACGGCGATCGCGTACGCCCAAGATAACACATTCAACCTGGGATACGGCATCCAAGTACTGTCATATCTGGCAACGGCAAACGCGACTAGAGAAGCCGCTAAAGTTACACCTGTGTGAAGATAAAGAGAAGAAAATGCAGAAGAAACCAAAGGAGGCAAATAAAACTCGGCTGAAAAATTTGGCATTTCATACGATCAGAAGAAGAAACAGGTAGGATATTAAAAATATAATCGTTCAGCTGTAGCACCCTTTCGGTGCCTATCTACCATGCCACCCGAAGAAAGCATGAGGGCTGGAATATTACCAGGTTGTCCATACTTATACAGGGGAAGTCGAGGGGCAGAGGTCGGGTTCGAATCACGGACCTTTCTGTCAGTAATTTCGTTTTCTAACCACTAAGCTATCTCCCCCTCGGGTTGCGACGATTCGTCCATCGCTTTCAAACAATTGTAAAAGGCCCACCGTTATTTGAATATTCTACACCGTTTAACTGACACTCCACATCCCACCCACACCAATCAAACAAGTATAAATGAGCCAGTGCTGTCACTCTCCAAAAACCCATTAGTTTAACACCATGCCAAAATTTCCTTAAAAAACTCCAAGTAAAATTATAATGCGAACAGAAGCAGGAATCGATTTTCTTCATTTCTTCAGGAACGCAGTGACATGAATTGCGGCTAGAGGGTAACCGGTCACTGAGAATAAAGAACCTGACTCATCCTTAGATGCGTACGGCTACTTTCATGGTTTGCTCAGATTCAAATGTCACTGAACATGCCTGAATTCGTGGTGAACTGACTGATGTGCCCTAGAAATTTGTGTAATGCTCAAACGCCTTGAGTTGGAAACGTGGTTACTTTCATAGTTTTTCACTAGTCTGCTGAACTTTTTGAATGTTGCGTGCGTCTTTGCTCAACTCCCTGTTGACCCGTTTCACACGGGTGTGCACTGCGTTTCAAATGAAGGAACTCCACCCTTAGAAATTAAGCATCTTAATCTTGGCCAGACGGGAACTGTTTTCAGAGAATGTTTGGAAATTTTCTTGGACTCTTGACCACTCTGAACTTCGTTGGGGAAGTGGTAAAACACTCGGTTTTATGGTATGTTTCATAGGTTCTCTTGAGCTTACTCTAAGAGCCCCAGATGTCTCGCTGAATGAAACCAAAGAACATGACAGCTTCTACCTGACCTTCAGTTCCTGCAAAGCTGAAATACAGATAAATTCAAAAACAGTTAAAGATTCTAAATATTATTCAGATCTATGGGTGGAGTTCTTTAGGGTCAAGAACCTCCACCTACTTGATTAGCTCGAAACACTGAAAACCGGCAGTTGTTCGTCAGCGAATTTGAAAATCGTGCAATGTTGGTCGCAAGCCAAGTTCGACGCCTCATACGCTACAGAAAATAAGCTGCTGACTAGAATTCGCATCTTACACGAACAGTTACTGTAGCAGAGACGCAGAACACACGTTCAACAAATTAGAGAATAGGCTAGATTTCAACAGAAACGGGTTAGTCGGATAACAATGTGAGGCGGTCAGATTTCGCTGTGACTGAATAGCAATCGGTGGTGTATTGTGAATTGCTCACAAGGATTGGAATCACGCTCCTCGCTGTTTCTCCTTAGTTCTCAAGATTTACGTAACCAGATGCCAGTTCTTTCTTTTCCCTTCTTTTTTCCACCAAATAGCGTGTTTCCATATTGGCATATGGAAACCAAGTACCAGAATTCCTTACTAGCGATGAGAGTTACGGTAATGACTAAAAGTATCATACAATCTAACATGCGTACGCAGTTTGTTTGTACATGTGCTCTCATGCTGAAGCTTGCTTATAAGTGATTTTTATCAACTGCTTCTCCTTTTATTGTGTCCAGCCTTCGTATTCCACTGTGTCTAACATTCATATCCGGAGTCCTAGACCATCCACGGTTTTAGATCAAAACAGGATGAGTTTCAATTTTCGTAAATAGCTTGGAATGCATCTAAAACCGATCAGTAAGCTTCAGTGGTGATTGAAGATTCACGGAAGCAGAACATAAGTAAGAGCGGACCACAACCCGGCCAGTCTACTCATATATGTTCCCTGCTATATTATTATCCTATGCTTCGAGTTACCCTTCATACTTCTATTTCACTCTCGTCTGTTTTTTTTTAGAAGTTTGGCCTTTTGTTCATGTTTGTTCATTTCGACAGTCATAGAGGATCCAAAACTGATCACCATTGCCTAGAACCTCATCAATATGTACACTGAAGCTGAAGGTCGAGTATGGATAGTCTGCAGTTTTTACGACTTTTTGTTACGATACAACGGTTTTGAAAGAATATTTCAGTAAGGAATATATAGACGAGTTTTGTTCTTACGACTGGCAGTGTTTATTTCCTCAGATAAAACAGTCCGTGTGAAAATCAATCAAATGAATCTTGAAATTATTTTGCAAAAGTTGCAATCGTATTTTGATTAGTCTCACAATCACTGAAACGACAGACTTAATTCATTCCATTTACAACCAATATACTGACTAGTGGTTGGTCACGTAGTGTTTTGATGAATTTCTCCTACACAGAAATCATTGCATGTAAAACGATTGGTTCTATGCTGTACATAACCACCTCTAACATGCTTGTCAAGCTGCAAAAAATCCGAAGCTTCAAAAGAAGTGGGACCGGAAGACAACCATTTAGTGTGGATGTACAGAGGCGCCACCCAAACGACTGTATGAACACTAAACTGTATAGTTAAGCAAACACTTTGGGGTTCTCGGGATCAAAAAGTAACATCATATGTTATTCGTTCAGCTTAATTCAACATGCAAAAGTGCAACACTTAACAGAAACCAGCTAAAGTTAAACATGGGGTTGGACGTGGGTGACTCCCGTGGGTACTTTTAAACTGGATGTCGATCTTTATTTACGAGTCAGGTTGCTTCAATAGTACATTCATAGGCATACTTACAGGTAAAGAAGTGTCCAAGAAGATTGAACTTTGCTACACTCAAGTCGTCTCGGTTAACAGAGTGTGTAACTTGACAAAGCACAATGAAGGTGACGAGCGAGTGAAGAAGTATTCCCAACGACGAAAGCACCTGAATGGCATACAGCCATACTGAAAAATAGAGAAATGAAGAGATGTATTACTTTACTCAACTTTTCAAAATCTCCTCAGTTTCATGTGGAGGATAACGTTCTACTCTCCATGTTACTCGATCTGGTTAGCCATCCGACCTCTACGTTCAACGTGCAACTTTCACCTGAAAAGTATCATTTTAGTGACTTTACTAGGTCTACATCAGAATGGACAGACAAGCAAACTAAAGAATGCACTTTTTTAGCTGAACAATCCAGGAAACCAACACTTTTTATCAAACATGAAGAACGGGTGAAGCCAAATTTTTCTGCGTAATGCATTGCATACTTCACACTCACACAAAAACGTGTGGTCTATAACATGAATACGGATTTCAGTGCTGGCCCTGAGGTATTCACTACAAATTTTACCCACCCATGTTTTAACCTAATTTTCAATCATAAATTTATCAACGTACGTAGAACGAAAAAGGTTATTATGGCCCGAAAAAGGTTAGAGGATGATGTACCGTAATGACGAAGAACGCTTAGTTCAGCATACTCACAAGGGTTGATCCATTCTCGGATACGATCGTATTCCACAAAATAGATATAGTAGCAACCGAAATAAGCCTTGCTAAAATCATCTGGTCTCATATAGCCATTGAAACACGCTGTCCAGAGACCTATCCTTTCGAACTGACTGTGAGCTTCAGGAACGGACTGAATCCAAAACGGGGACACAAAAGAGATAAAGTTTGTCGTTACAGCGGCTATCGTAGTCCACAAAAAGACCAAAAACAGCCTGTGCGACTTTTCTTTGAAAGGCTGCATTTGGACTGATCAAAAGTCTCCAGGTCTTCCGGGCCCAAAATTTCCAGTTTTTCAGTTGAACGGCTGAAATATAAAAGTATAAAAGTATAAAAGTATATAAAAGTATAAAAGAATTAAATTAGCGGGGACACAAAAGAGATAAAGTTTGTCGTTACAGCGGCTATCGTAGTCCACAAAAAGACCAAAAACAGCCTGTGCGACTTTTCTTTGAAAGGCTGCATTTGGACTGATCAAAAGTCTCCAGGTCTTCCGGGCCCAAAATTTCCAGTTTTTCAGTTGAACGGCTGAAATATAAAAGTATAAAAGTATAAAAGTATATAAAAGTATAAAAGAATTAGAGCTGAATAAAAGTTACTAGTCAACCGTACTTTAAAAAGGGCCTTATATCGAGCATATTGCTGACTGGAATCCGTATTTCGTATGTGAAAACTCTCACGTCAAATGAAAACCCAGTCGCGATCTTGTGCACGTTACAGCCAAATCAGGGCCGTCTCAAGAAATTCAGATGAAAAGTTATGAAGAATGAAACTGGATGTTTTGCGAAAACCGCACTACAAAGTAGAAATTTAAAACTTGCACTGCATCAAGAACCGAATACAAAGTTATCATTGCACATCAGTTGTTAGCAAGGAAGTTGAGCTGAATAAAAGCGTTAGGTCGAAATCTGTGCACTCATAACTGTGCAACACACGTTTCGTCCAACTGGAGAGCCATGTGGTCGCCTCAGCCTGGCTTAATATCCGTCAGCCATAGCCCAGTCGCGCCCTCAGTGGCGCTCGTGCATCCAAGCTATTGCCTTCAATGCATAGCTCCTTTTCCAACCCCCCCACCCATTTGACAGCCCACTGACAGTGCTGGATTTATGCACCAATTTATCAGCTCCCGTCTGCAATGCGCAGCTACCTACCCCTCCCCCCCCCAAGTCATCGATGAACAAAACTGCGGCAGCTACAACCACTGTACGACGAGTACGCGGTTATTACAGCTGATGATGAATATCCGTCATACTATTTCACTGCAGTTAACCAGCTTAGATGATAGTACGTTCAAAGAAAAATGAATGAATCATGGCGACTCTAAGCCGACAGTGTATATCTCAAAAGACTTCACGTATCAGCTGCTGGTAGGTAGAAGCCAACAAGTGATAACAAAGGATTGATCTGGAAGTTAAGGACATCTACTGCAGTTTAGGTTGCTACATGAGGCAAACAAAGTTTCAAGGACGGTATTCGAACATATTCGTTGAACAGTTTCACAGTATAAGAGAAGCCACGAGGTCCATTGGAATGATTTTGGGAATTCTGGTTCCCAATAAATTGTAGTGTGTTGTGATTAGAAGGGGTGCCCGCAGCCAGTGTTACTGGAATCATAATCAAAGGTGATTACGAGTTGAGAAACTGACAATGAGAAATAGGACCAAACATTCTGCATTTTGCTCACGATTAGAGACTAGATTCTCAGTGACAACCTTCTCTTTGGTGATAAAGAGCACCTTTATTCAAAAAAGGTCGAAGCTCTATGCGGCGGAGGCTTGCCTTAGTCAAGAAGCCGAAGGCAGATTCTAAAGATAGTCCTCTCTCACCTCAAGTGCCTCCAAAGGATGGCATTCAGAAGAAGGCAAAGTTATCCAGTTTCAGAATGATTTGCGAGGCCAGAAATAATAAACATTCAAAAGACTGTTCCAGAAAACGTACGGCACGCTCGTCCCAATGAACAATTTTTACAAAAGCGGCTCTCTTCCTGAAAGAGAACACCAAGCTTTATTGTGCACTATAAAATCACCGGTCTGCCTCATGAAGTAACGGGGGCTAGGCAAGATAACCTAACTCCGATTTGCCAGAAGTTTTTTGCTATAGCAAGACGGTAAGGGGGACCAGGAGCGCTTAAAACGAAAAGAACGACAGCATCCTTCGAAACATAGTAAACATTTCGGCACAGCTGTCCGCGCTCTAAGTGTAGCAAGTTCCGAAAATCTGATAAAAACCTGAAATCAGTGGCTGGCACACATGCCTAAAGTGTTCAGAGATTGAAAAAAAACATACAATGCTTACAGCGAGCCGGGTATTATTCCCAGTTATATAGACCACTCTAGCACATTGAAATATTGGAATAACCACACTAGCCGTTGAACGATTCAGTGACCAAAGTCAAATGTCTTCTGTGAAACTGGTGCAATTTTGAACGCGTTGTTCATGTAAATATGGCTCCTTCTTGGTAAAATCCAGTCAAAATCCTCTTTGCTGTTAATCTAAGAATGAAACTTCCATGGTATATCAGCATGTCTCCAGTACAACAATACAGTGCTGAAGAACACAAAAACTCGATTCCCTACTTCATTAACAATGGAATGTGGAATTACACAGGAGAATTTTGTCACCAGTCTCATGTAGACACATTGCCGCAGAATCACAAATGACGCACTTGTCTTTGTCAACGAAGAATTTCGCGAATGACACCATAATCACTCTGATGTTATGTCCAGCTTTCTGGTACAGGGTTATCTTTCCCAAGGGGCACATGTTCCAGGACTCTGTGATGAACCAACGTACGAAACGTTTTACGCATCTAGTGGATGAATTTCTGGCAGTAATACACAAGACTTTCATGCGCAATAAGCATTGTGTGAAATTCACACATTTAGTCAGAGTAGAGTGGAGGGGCAAAACAGGACATGTGTTCCCTTTAATAAGACTGCTTTGAGTTTTATCACTGTACTAAGGATGCTGTAGTGGTGACCAGGTCTGATTTGCCTCGGCTGTAACTATAGCCATATTTCTACTGTTGAGCAAAACAAATGTAAAAAGTGACGTAATAAAAACACTTGTCGTTCCGCCAATTTTGTGAAACCATTTACTTCTTCGTATTTTTTGGTTACCGGCTTGGTTGTTGAGCCTTTTAGACACATCTTTGAAAATAGACGTGGCATCAAATGTATGCTCTTCGCAAGGAGGATTTAAGGATATAAAAGAGATGGGAAGACTGACGAGGCAAGGGTCATGAAGCAATAGTTCGTTTGGTGCCTCATATGCTTTCAACTTGATGTCAATTTTGTTATGTACTTTTGAGGTCCCGGAAAGTTTTGCTTCTGCGAAACTGTGAGTGATACAATGCAGACCAGGGCCGACGATAGAAACTGCCCATCTTTAGCCGAAATATGATTTGAAATTTTGTCGTTCCACTGCCTTTGTGTGTGAAAAAGATTCGATAATTAGAAAACGATGAGCTTGTATTTTAAAGATTGTTAATTGGGAAAAGCCATTAGAATTAGTTCAGACAAACGTTCTGACTATTCACAAGAGGCCAGCCTTTCTGATAGAACATTTGCTAGCAAATTCAAGTAATCAGCTCAAAAGCTAGGTTGCACGTTTGACCCAGATTAGTTCTACTTCTGGTCGGGTTTCTTGCCCTATCCTGTCAATGGGGGTCAGAAATGAGTGTTCCTAACTACGGCCCTGGGGATAACGTGGCCCCTTTTTGTGGTCCAACCGACCTATCAAAACGAGTTGCCTACATTATTCGCAAAAAACTATATGAAATCCATTGATGAATAATCCTCAAGGTGTGCTAAGTCTGACCCAAAATTATGTTACTTTCGTTTTCCTTAGAGGATTTTAATTGCCCTGGAAACAAAACGCGAGTGCAGTTTTACCGTAAAACACTAATGTTTACTCGGATAAAACAGATATTTCCCTAGTTCTGAAGGAGCCGCATTTAGTATACCACAAGAATACAAAGTCTTTACGGTAAACCGCTTTACATCAACCACCTACCTATAGTAACCGCTTCTGATAGTCTTAATGAAAATTATTTCCAACTTGCTGACTTCAGCACCGACGGCGAACCGCACCACATTCAGTTCTATGAAAAATTTAAGTGTGAGGTTTTCGATATCTAAACACCATTTTCCCTATTAGAGTAGTTTATTTGGTGATCACGGGTTGTGGGCTGTCCTAATCAAGGCTTCTTGTGCAACATAGTTTTCTGCAAAGATGATACAAGTGAAACCGGTGACCGCTACTGAAAATAAAAGGTTACACGCCATTACTTACTAAACTATTATAACTAAACTAAAGAGGTAGGTTCAAATAGATCCGTGAATTTAACTTGAAAATTGGGCAATATCCTGAGATGTTCCTGAGATGTGTGCTGATTTGTATCAGCATTTGGATGATAGTACTCATAAGTCTATATTGAATAAATATTCACTGCAACGTTACTAATAATCACTCTTGATTTCGAAATACGACGATGGGACGTTCGCTTCGTAGGAATTCCTAGAGTTCTGTTCTCTTTTGTTTTGTGATCATCACTTTGTGCTTCCAAACAAGACCATGTTCGGCGAATGATAGTCATTCGTCTGAATTTTGTTTTTTTTCAGCCACAACGGAGCAACCAATAACAATCTCGTTAACTGGTATAATCATCGGTATTTTGAGCTGATGCCATCACTATAATCCGGGTGAATCGGAATAAACACTAAACGAGTTTCTGAGTATCAACATTTTTATAGCCCTACTGAAGGTCATTCATCCATGGCCCACCCGACTGAATACCAAATACTGAGCACGTATACTGAGGGTGAAGAACACTAACATTTGCATGGTCACTAGCAGCAATATCAGTGGTAAATACCACTGATTGGCTACTGTGCCACATGGTATAATTGAAGTATGGGTTTGACATAAAGAACAAAATGTAAAGACCAAAACTGTTGCTATTTTGTGATGGAAAGGTAGTTGCACAAGACTGAACAAGCGTATTTTTAGCTGCGATCTTAATGTACTGTGTACTCTGTGGTCAAATGTCCTGCATGCAACGTTTTCTGAAGGCACATGTTCGCTTCAACCACACAGAAACTGAACTTTCTTGAATCAAAAAAACGAGCAAATTATTGTAAAACAGGCATCTTGACCTCCATCGTGAAACCTCAGAAATCGTTTTTTGGTTCATTTATAATGACAACCGTCTACTCTGCATCAGACCCTGAAGCAGCTGAAGTTCAGCTGTTTACTCTCTGCAACAGGACTTACGCTTAATAGAGTTTGATATGTTCCAGAATGAAG